GGGGGGGGGGGGGGGTTGGTTGGGGGCGGGGGAAATAACTTCTGTCATGAATTCATGTACCGCGTACAAATGAGGTGGGGTTCCTTGCTATCACTCTGGGAAGTAATGGGATCATAACCCAGCTTTGGTTAAAAAGGGGACGCTATGATGTAGCTCACAAGGTACTCATCATGGCTGCTGACCCAGAGACCTCATGCAGTCGGATGTAACCTAACGCTGTTCCCATGAGCTCATCGTGTCCTTCCCCCACCCCTCTGCCTGCCTAGTGTGGTAATGAGATGAGACCAAATGACCAGGTCCGGATTCTTCAAATGTAGACGACGATTTGACCTGGGTCTTCAGGACTTCTTTCCGAAGGTGCTGTGCCCTTTCTGATTGACGGTGGAAAATGGGGGGATGTCAGGTGCTGCATTGATGAGCATGAAGGTCAGTGAGGGATCCTGCGATTTACGTCGTCTGAATGACGGCTCATTCAGTCTGGTGATTTTGTGCGTCCAACAACTGTTCCGAATGTTTCTGACCAAAGCCATGTTCATCGTTTCCTCTTTTTGTTGTCCTTTTGTTTGTCTGTGTTGGTTCCTTTGGGTGTGTTTGCTTTTCTCTGGACTAAATTTTTTTGCAAGCAGGGGGTTCGATTAACATCTCCAACATCTTGACTGGGAAGTGCCTTGCTAAGATACGAGCAGACGATGAGAATGTTAGATGCGGAGGGTCGACAAAAAGAAGCAGCGTCGCCCAGGTGAGTGAGTGCACAGGATGTTCCCGCAGCTCATGATGCATGGAAATGATGCGTTTTGATCGTCTGCTAATTAATGCCTTACCCTTTGTGTTCCTTTTCTCCTCTGGATATCTAGAAGGGGCTCTCTTTTTGTTTTTCTCGTCTCTCTTCCAGAAGGGCTGGATGCTGCTCATCAACTATTTCATATTTGTTCTGTTTTCACCAGGATTGAGGCTGTCTGCTCGGCATGTCCCTTGGGAAGCGTGATGTGTTTTTGGGAATGAATAAAGTTTATGCAGAAAATGACAAAATGTTACATCAGTTCCTTCGATATTTTGGTTGTGATGGTCTGGAGGCTCTGCTGAGGGATATGATCATCATTACCTTCTGTCAGTGCCATCAGTTCCGTCGAACAAACTGTTTCCACACGCGGACTGTTTTCATACATAAGCCGGGTTCTGGTTGCTGCCTTTACCCGGTCTTACAGGGTTGATGGCGTTTGCCGATGTTGTTATGACAGCGATTGGGTATGGGTAGAAGCTGACTTTGGTGAGGGCGGGGGCGGGCGACTTGCTTGTGCTTTGCAGGTAGCGGAAACCCTGGAGGACGTAACGGCGTTGTTCTATGATGAAGAGAGAAACGAGATCTATACAGGCAATAAGCAGGGCCTGGTACATGTGTGGTCGAATTAGGCGAAAACAAGGCAGAGCATTGGCAGGCTAGATCCATCCTCGTCTGAAACGAAATGAAGGGGTAGTGGTGCAGGTAATTCGTTGAGATCAAAGTCTCTTTGATGCTCTCTTTCATGGCCACCACGTGGCAGCTGGGAGGGAGACAGGGAAGTGTGAGGGGAAGTTCGGAGGATGGAGACGAGCACTTGTAGGATAGCTTTGAAAGTTGGAGTTAGTGGGGTCTGGGGAATTTGACGTCACGCAAGAGTGTTAGGTTTGCTCGAGGACACAGGAATGAGCTGCAGCATTCAGAGGGCAAAGTGTTTAGGAGAAGTATGTGGGGTGGCCAAGGAGTCCTGCAGGCAAGAGTGCCATGGATGGAGGAGGAAAACTGGGACGGTGGGAGTTGGAGAGCCTGGTACAGCAGTGCAACCAGGACTTATTCACATTCATGTTCCGCTGGGGCATGTGACGAGCCATGATAATGCCTGCATCTGAAGGTTTTTGTTTCTGTTGCTTCCGGTGAGTATGATCCATACCTGGGGATGTGGATGTGCATGTCTGGGGATATGAGTGCTCGTACATGTGTTCATATCTGTTCTTCCTTGCATACATGGTTTTCGTGTGTAAAACTGAGATATGGGTCTTTTTCTGACACACATAAACACAGTGATCCGATAGTGTAGAACTGAGAAATGGGTCTTTTTCTGCACAGTGATGGGACTCTATCTGAGAGCGCAGTGATCCGTTTGTGTAAAACTGAGAAATGGGTCTTTTTCTGACACACATAAACACAAACGGATCACTGCGCTCTCAGATAGTGTCCCATTATGTGGATTCCTATTGGTTTTTTTAGAGTCTTTTTGACCTGAATGGATGTGGGTTCTGTTTAAATGCGTGATGGTCTACGACGGATGTGGGTCCCGCGGACATAATCTGTGTGCATGAGGGAAGCTTTGTATGCATGAGTATTGCGCGTTATTTGGGAGTAAGGGTGTGGAGAAGGAAAGTAGGATTTCGGGGGGCAAGATGGATGGGGTTTGGGGATGGCAGCATCACGCATGGGAGAGGTATCTGTTTGGGCAAGGATGAGTATCGTTTCAAGGAGGCAGAGGGGTTTTGGTGTGGTTACGAGCATGAGTTGACATGAAGGGTAAATTTTAAATTCAGTAAGTAATTCCAGTCTTGTTTCTGATGTGCACTTGAGTGCCCCTCACATTTGGAACCATTCCAGAGACAAGCGCTACCGGGTGCCGCCCCACCATATTGGTTTGGTGGGTCGAGGCGTTCCGCGGTGCAGTGCGCGCACAGGATAGCTAGGATGGGATGGGTACTGGTCGAGGCGTTCCGCGGTGCAGTGTGCGCACAGCATAGCTAGGATGGGCACTGGTCATTAAAAAAAAAGGCACTGTACTAGTGGAGAGCGTGTGAGTTTGGTTTGCCTGTGACATTGGGCAGCTTTGTACTTGCCAGTTGCGGAGACTGCTGGAAAGATGGATGAATGACTTTGTGAAGTTTATTATGAGTGCTTTGTTATTTGAAGTTGTTGGTGCGTATTGTTGACGAAACGGTGGTTGAAGTCTGGACTTGTTTATGGTTGTGTTCTTGAGCTTCTTCGTGGGATAGGATGTGGGATGTAACCATAAACTGCGTGGCTCCAGTTGGTTGCGTCTCATTCCATTCCGTTCTATTCGGTTGCTGTGAGTGGGTCCAAATGTGGGACCAAATGGAACAAAGAAGACCCACTCACATGGAACTCATTCTAACTGGTGGCATATTGTTGCAATGAGTTCCATGTGAGTGGGTCTTCTTTGTTCCATTTGGTCCCGTTTGGTCTTTTTTTTTCTGTGAGGCTCCATCGGGGATGATTTGTGCTGTGACACATTTATTAATGATTGTGTGATGTCTTCTGGACACAATGATGAATACAAATTTTGTGAACATTTTTTAGCAAAAGCTGTTCAATTGTGAGTGAACCTGAAAGTTTCTGTCCTCGTTGGGCTGGTGGTGATTTTTCTTGTCGCAGGGCATATCACCAGTTAAATAACTCAGCTTCGAGATGCATGCTATGTCGGGAACGGTCAAGTTGGTGTACCTTAGAAAGAGCAGAACCTTTGTGATATTTGTTTGTAGAGACATTGAAAGAGAGACCTATTTTAAGGGGACAAATGGGAAAAAAATCTGATTTCTTTTGGTCCGCTTGTCAGCAAATTTTTCTAATGCGACCGATGTACACAAAGCTTCTACTGTCCACTCTCCCCCCCCTCCCTCCCTCATGCTTCACTCCCATTCATTTCATCGCAAGGTTGTCTTTTTCAGCCTTTGCCTTTCATCTCCTTAGTATTGAATGGGTTAGGGAATGCCTTTTCATTTCCGTAGAACAGGTGTATTATCTTCTTTGTGTGTGTGTGTGTGTGTGTGTGTGTGTGGGTGGGTGGGGGTGGGTGTGCGTGTGTGTGTGTGTGTGTGTGTGTGTGTGTGTGTGTGTAGGTGTGGGTGGGTGTGCGTGTGTGTGTGTGTGTGTGTGTGTGTGTGTGTGTGTGTGTGTGTGTGCGCGCGCGTGTGTGTCGCACGTACACGTCCGTGTGTGTGTGTCGCAGTGCTGGATATCCTGGATCTGCTGCAAACGGGTTTTAGAATTGGAATGTTGACGACCCCAACCCTCTCGGGATGAATGCCCATATGGAGTAGAAGTTGCCTGTGGTTACTTCGATGTTTCGAATCTGCGTCCTTTCTGTTGCTGAGGATGTAGTGAGAGCCCGCCCATATGGAGATGTGTGCACAGGTTTCTGTCAGGAATGATGTGGTGGGCTAGAGGCCCACAGCGAGTGCCACCTCAATTTCAATTTAGCAGAGCCTTCTGTGATGGGGTTGTTTCAGTCTTTTCGCTAGCAGATGCTGTAGTCCATCTCCAGTCACTGTTTCGCGGACAAGCCACTGTACTATGTGCAGTGCATCTCTTTGTTAGGCGGTCACAGATTGACGTGTTGAATGATATGCTTTGTTTGGTACGGACGTATGGCATGTGTGGTTGGTTAGTCTATGCCACTTACATTGTAATGCGAGGAGGCGAAGAAGTGAGTGATTAAACTGATGCTCGATTTCTTGTCCGATTCTAAAACTCTCTGACTGATTCTTGCTCGCTTGCGACAAAGAAGTGATTATCGGATGCCGTGTTTTTTGTCTCTGCTTCTGAAAACTCTCTGTTTCATGACAAGTTTCGGTGATTCCAAACTTGTTTCAGCTCTATGAGATAGAGATCCACCTCCACACCTTCGTCACCTTGTTCTCCTTCTTTTTCCATCATGAACAAAAAGTAGACTTCGGCATTCTTGGTCCTATGCAGGCCCAGCCTGCCAGTCCTACGTCTTGGTGTGAGGCAGTCAACAGGAGTGGAAAGGGGTCTTTGTGTGCTTGACGCATTTGGCTGCTATGTTCCTGCACCTACACCTCTGTATTCCTTCTGTCCTTCCCCCCCCCTCTTTTTCGTCCCGAAGCAACTCTCAATTCCTGCGCTACATTTCATAGTAACCATCTCTCTCTCTCTGTTTCTCTCTCTCTCTCTCTCTCTCTCTCTCTCTCTCTCTCTNTCTCTCTCTCTCTCTCTCTCTCTCTCTCTCTCTCTCTCTCTCTCTCTCTCTCTCTCTCTCTCTCTCTCTCTCTCTCTCTCTCTCTCTGTGGGAGTATCAACCGGGCGTAGCGCAAGATCTGGCAAGCTTGTGTCTTTGTAAGCAAGTGTGTGAGTGCCACAGTGGTTTTGCGTGTTTGGCTTATAGGCCCGTTATGTTCTGATCGGTAGGAGGGCTTGCATACCCCGCTGGGTGTGTCTCCGATGCCTCTCTCTCGCACGTCCCCTCAGGAATGCGTGGTGCCCAGGCGATACATTGCTTGCATTAATTAGAATCGAGAAAATGGATGTAAGGTTTGGGACATCATGCTCTGCAAACGATGATTTGTGTAATAATGGGCAATAGTGGGAACAACGCATGACATAGAAACATACACTAGAAAAAGGAAGTGACGAAGAAACTTCAGCAGTGACTTCAGTAGATGTGTCAAACACATCCCACCTTTGTTTTTTTTTTGTGTTTTTTCTTTTGCTCCACCCTTCTGCTGAATTGGTTCTTTGAGTTGGCACTGGTTTGTAGTTTAGCGTCTGTGCCTGGGATGTATTCGGCAGAGCAGAGATAGGTATTCATTCTGCTACTTTGGCAGGAACTAGAGTACAATTTAGTAGAGACTTGTATGGGGTACCGTTCTGTCCATGATCAAAATTAAACAGTGTGCTTCTCGTCTTCCATCACTGTGATTGCTTCTTCTTTGGCATTCGAAGAAGGAAAAAGAAGACATGGGAAGTGGAAGGCAGATATGGTGGCGTTCACGATGTATTGGGGCTCTTGAGCTGTTCCTTGAGATGTACAGATGGTGGGTTTGTGTTATGGATGCATCATTGAATGCGTTCATTTAGCGGCATGGAGAATTATGGATGCATCATTGAATGTGTTATTTTCCTGTGAATTTGGCAGCATGAGGATTAACGACCATGGGTCACTTTCTGCGTACAATGTGGGTTGTTGTGTTGGCCTTGGGTTTTGTTTTTGAAATGAGTTCGCCACTGGCCGAGGCCCTTGCCATAAGAGTGCGAACTGCTCCTTGAACACAGTGCCCCAGCGTCATGAGTGTACTTGGATGGGAACACTTTGTATATTATGTTCATGATGACGTCGTGTTATGCTTGGGGAAAGGAGGTAGTTGTACATATAAACATACATCCGTACATACATTATAGGATGGATAGATAGATATATTGTGTGACCATTGTACTGTTTGATGATATATTGGATAGATGGATAGATAGATACATACATACATACATATGTACATATAAACATACATCCGTATATACATTATAGGTAGCGAATCCGGATATCTGGAGGACCGATTTTATTCCGGAATATTCCAATCCGGGCGAAACTTCTGGATCGATTCGGTATCTGGAAAATCCGGCTCTGCCCAAAATGCATGTTTTTACCGATTTTTAATTTTTTTTTAATCTGGAAAAAAGTATGTTGTTCATATTAATGGTACGAACAACTTTTGGCTGGATGCCGTCTTTTATATCTCAAACAGATATGAAGATAAAAATAATAATAATAATAATAAATATTTAGAATTTTAGATGAAAAAAATTATAAAATGATTTAAGTATGCCCCCTCTAAACCCCTTTATTCCCTGTCTTACCCCCTTTGAAGCCTTCCACGCCCTATCAAGCTTTTCATGAAATAGGAACATAGTTCTATTGTATTTTGCATGTACAATATCACTTTCTTTTTGCTTTTGTTTTCTTTTCGTTGCGTTTTTTTGGCCTTTTTTTTGTTATCATCCGCATCTCTGGATAATCCTACCCCCCCCGATTATCCGGCCAGATAATACAACCAGGTTATCCGGCCAGATAACCCGTGCTACCTAGCATACATTCACGCATACATACATACATACATACATACATACATACATACATACATACTATCTCTATAAACTTAGTATAAAGTGTATTGGACTCGGGCAGTGTCAGAACCAGTCATGGCCGTCTTTTTGTTGTCCTATCGTGGATCTGGTGCCTGAGATTTGTCCTGAAACTCTTTTTTCTTTTGGGGACACCTGGGGCTAGGTCCCACTTACACGAATTAAGCGATATTGACCTTAGATAGCAAAGATCAACGGCCAGAATCTCTTAATCCGTGCAAGTGGGACCTAGCCCCTGGTGTTGTGTTTGATGGACGCGTGGATAGTTACCGGCCGACGAAGGTGTCAGAAAATGTCAGACAGTGTTGGGGATTGATTGTGAGAGTGGGATGGAGTGTTAAAGATCGTCAGACATTTTGATAGACTGTCAGGGATTCGTGCGGGATGTGTCATCCAGCCTCACGATTCTGGATGGAGGGCTTAGGAGATAAAGGCGTCCATGCATGAACGTGGTTGCATTCGGAGTGATTTACGCAAATCAAATAAAAAGTAAAATTGAAACAAAAACGTTTCAGTTTCTGACTGACAGTTGCTCTGACAGATTCTCATTATTGTCTGATAGGTTCTGACATGGTCTCACAGGCATGGAGTACTTGTCAGAACCTGTGTTTTGTTTTGTCGTCTTTTTGTCTCTTCATGGCGACGTTTGCTTGTTACGGAGGGTGTTAGTGCCTGGTGGTGTTTTGGTCTTTTTGTTTGTTTTTCTCTCGTTCCGTGTGTGGTGGCCTGTTATAACTGAACTTTCGATGGCCTGTTATGTGTGAAGTTGTGAACATTCGGTGGCCTGTTATATTTGAATTTGGCGGTGAGACGAAAGGGGTTGGTGAGATTTGTGATCTTGGCCGTCGGATGGTGGTTGATCGATGTTGCTATATAATACTGTTTCGTTTCTTTTGGTTGGGGGATATGTCGTTTCTTTATTGCTGGGTGTGTATCTGCGGGGCTGTCTGTTTTTTTTCTGTGGGGGAAGGTCTGTGTGATGTTTGATGGTGGGGTTGTTGGATTTGGCGGGAGTCCGTTTTGAGTGAGATGTGGTTGAGATGGTAGTGTTTAGAACTGTAGAAATATGGACATTTGTTTGAATTCGAGTGCAAGTAAAATGGTTGGAAATTGTGAATTGAGCTCCGCTGTTAGGTTTGATAACGATATCTAGAGTGTATCCAGGGAGGTTGGCATTGCAGGGCTTCGGCCCATTATTTGACGAAACCTCGAAAGTGGAGCATGTTGCTTTTCTTAAAACATGGAAAGATGTGTAAAACTGAATTATAAAACAGCAAAAAACGAGGAAACTAAGTTGGTGGCGCTTGGAATTGCAGGGTTTGGGTGGAACCCAGAAAATGGAGCATGTCTGTTTGTGTAGAACATGTAAATATATACTCACTGCAGGTTTTGTTGTTTTCATATTCTGTCACTCTCTAAATTGTGTTGATGTTCGAGTGGAGATAGATGGGGGAGGGGGTTCTCAGAAAGGTTGGATCTGTTTGAAAGGCCGTCGGAGGGGCGTGTCGAAACGAAGTGGGGTGCAGTGGAATTATCAATATGTGAGAAGAACATTTCTCTTTAACCTTGTCTTGAGGAGGTATTTGACGAAATAGCTCATTTTTTGTGGACTTCCGAAACCTTTGGGGGAGCCTCATCGATTTTTTGGTGGGGGGGGGAGACAAGTTATTGGAGTAGCTGTACAAAAACAAAAAGGCACTAAGGTCTGGCACCCACTAAGGTCGCCCTTCCGCCCAAACGTTTCGGGTGGCCTATCTTTCCGTTCGCTCGCCATCATCTAAACCATACCTTATTGATCCTTGTCTAACTATTGACCTTTCTTGTAATACAATCAAACTTCCTATGGCGACTTCATTTGGGTGGTGGATCATCCTTCCACTGGCGCCCCGGTGACGGTCCTCCTCCCTCACTGGCCTCCCCTTAGAATCTTACCTTTCGCACCATTCGCTGACTTAAACCTTTATCCCACTTCCAATATTGAAGCGTTTGGAGGCCATCAAGGCTGACTCTCAAATTCGCTTTATGATCGACGAACAGGGCCATGCATTTAAAAATCACAATTTCTTTCAAAATCAGAGTATGCCAATCTATACTGAAAAACGCGTTCCAAAATGAAGTTAAAATGCAGTAAATCAACTTATTAAAACTCGAAGTTACTCAACATTGGTCATCGTCGAGTTTGGAAGCTATCTTTCCGTTCGCTCGCCATCATCTAAACCATACCTTATTGATCCTTGTCTAACTATTGACCTTCCACTGGGCCCCATAAATCATTGTGCAAATAACAGAATTGGAAAAAACGCAAAATGCTTAGTGAAGGGTGAAACTCGGTGTATAAGCAATGCCCTGTTACCACGAATTCAAGAGCAAAAGTTTTTGGACTTGGTTGCATTTGTGATCAAACGAGATGCCAAAATGTGAAGTAAAATTATTGACCTCTTGAGTAGCTTGACAAAGGAGTTGGTTTGCGCCTCCTCTCTTGCCTCAGGGGCGTCCATCTTCCTTAGCCTGGTAGTACTCGGATCTTCATTCTCAACTTGTCCACTACCATTCCCTGAAATATCCCTCGCTCCGACCTTAGCTCTTTAAGTAGCATGACAAGGGGATCCGGCTGCCCCTCCACTAGCGTCTCAGCGACACCCCTCTGCCCTTGCTCGCTACTATGTCTTTACCCTTATAGCATCGACACTTACCCCCTTCTTTAAAAGTTTTATCTTATGGCCCGGGCTAGTGCTTACCATCCAACCTTAAGAATCCTTTTCACTTTTTACAAGGGTGAGCCTTTGACCTAGGCCCTTAGA